AATAGTAGCGATGGATTGGGAGGGGAAGGTGGGGATGGTTAATAGGTACAAAAAAAATTGAAAGAATGAGTAAGATCTAGTATTTGACAGCACAACAGGATGATTATAGTCAATAATAACTTAATTGTACAATTCAAAATAACTTAAAAAGTGTAACTGGATTGTTTATAACTCAAAGGATAAATGCTTGAGAGAATAAATACTCCATTCTCCATGATGTGCTTATTTCACACTGCATGCCTTTACCAAAACACCTCATGTACCCCACAAATATATACACCTACTATGTGTCCACAAAAATTAAAATTAAAAAAAATTTAAAGAAACAAAGAAGGTGATGATATAATAAAAGGTCAATTCAGCAAGAAACTATGATAATTGTAAATATATGCACTCAACATCAAAGTACCTATATATAAAGCAGATATTAATAGATCTGAAGAGACACATTCTGCAATACAAAAATAGTAAGAGATTTCAACAACCCACTTTCAGCAGTGGACAGATCATCCAGACAGAATTATCAATAAAGGAACATCAGACTTAAAGTATACTCTAGGCTAAATAATATATGAGACATTCCATCTAACAACTGCACAATATACATTCTCCTCAACTGTATATGAAACATTCTCTAGAACAGATCATATGTTAGGCCACAAAACAAGTCTTAACAAATTTAAGAAGACTGCAATAGAATCAAGTATCTTTTTCAACCACAACAGTATAAAACTATAAATTAATAACAGAAAAAACTTTGGAAAATTCACAAATAATGGAAATTAAACAACATGCTCCTGAACACCAAGGAGACATTTCAACTGATACAACAGAAATACAAAGAATCATAAAATACTGTTATAGTTAATTATATTCAGTTAAACAACCTAAAACACATGAATAATTCCTTGACACATACAACATACCAAGATTAAATTATCAAGAAATAGAAAATCTGACCCAACCAATAATGAGTAATAACACTGAATAAATAATAAACAGTATCCCATCAAAAAAAGAAAGCCCAGGACCTGATGGCTCCATTGCTGAATTCTACCAAAGACTGAAAGATGAATTAATACCAACTGTTCTCAAACTTTTCCAAAAAATTCAAGAGAACAGAGTAATTCCAATCTCATTTTGTGAGGCCAGCATTACACTAATACCAAAGCCAGACACAGACAAGGACACTACAAAAACGGAAAACTACAGGCCAATATTTCTGAAGAACACAGATGCAAAAACCCTCAGCAGAACACTAGAAAACCAAACTCAACAGCACATTAAAAAGATTATTCATCGTGATCAAGTGGGATTCATCCAGGAGATGCAAGAATGAGTTAACATATGCAAATGTGTAAATGTAATGCATCACATGAACAGTATGAAGGACAAAAATCATATGATAATTTCAACTGATACGGAAGAAACGTTTGACATTATTCAACATCCTTTCACGGGAAAAACTCTCAACACATTAAGTATAGAAGGGATATACCTCAATAAAATAAGGCCATATATGACAAACCCACAGTTAACATTATACTCAATGGGGAAAGGTTAAAACTTTTCCTCTAAGATTCAGAACAAGACAAGGATGCCTACTCTTGCCGCTACTATTCAAAATAGTACTGAGCCCTGACCAAAGCAATTAGGAAGAGAAAGAAATAAAAGGCATACAAACTGGAGAAGAAATCAAATTGTCCTGGTTTGCAGATGACATGGTCTTATTTATAGCAAACCCTAAAGACTCCATAAAAAAACTGTTAGCATTAATACATAAATTCAGTAAAGTTGCAGGATACAAAAATCAGTAGCATTCCTACAGAGTAACAGCAAACTATCTGAAAACTAATTTTTTAAATCCCATTTACAATAGCTACAAAAGATAAATACTTAGAAATAAATTTAACTCATGAGGTGAAAGATCTCTCCACTGAAAACTATAAAACATCGATGACAGAAATTTAAGATACAAGTAAATGGAGTGATATACTGTGTACATGAATTGGAAGAATTAATATGTTTAAAATGTCTATACTACTCAAAGCAATCTACAGATCACAACGCAATCCCTAACAAAATTCCAAAGACATTCTTCATAGTAATAGAAAAAAAAAATCCTAAATTTTCATACAGAGCCAAAAGGATCCCAAATAGGTGAAGCAATCTTGAGCAAAAAGAACAAAGCTGGAAGCATTACACTATCTGACTTCAAAATCTACTGCAATGCTAAAGTAACCAAAACAACATGAGATCAGCATGAAAAATAGGCATATAGACCAATGGGATAAAGAGAACAGAAATAATTCCATGTGTTTAGAGCCAACTGACATTCAACAAAGGTGCCAAGACCATACAATGGGGAAAGAACAGTCTCTTCAAATTAATGGTTTTGGAAAAACTGGATATCCACAACATGCAGAAGAATGAAATTAGAGATTAGACTTTTATCTCACACCACCATACATAAAAATAAACTAAAAATGGATTAAAGACTTAAACTACTAGAAAAAAACAAAGGGGACCAGCTCCATGACACTGGTTTGGGCAATGGTTTTTTGGATACAACCCCAAAAGCATAAGCAACAAAAGCAAAAATAGATAAATGGGATTACGTCAAACTAAAAAACATGTGCAAAACAAAAGAAACAATCAACAGTATGAAAGGGCAACCTACAGAATGGGAGAAAATATTTACAAATCACATATAACAGATATGCAATATATGTATATGTGTATATATGTATAGATATGTATATTGTCTGTATACATATATACATACATACATACATATATACACATATATATGTGAAATTCACACAACTCAATAGCAAAAAAAAAAAAAATTTCTCTAAAGGGACAGGGGACCTAAAAGACATTTCTCAAAGGAAGACATGCAAATGACTAACAGGTGTATGTAAAGGTACTCAACATCACTAATCATAAGGGAAATGGAAATCACAACCACAATGAGATATCATCTCACACCTGTTAAAATGGCTATTATCAAAAAGCAAAAATAAGTGTTCCCAAGGATGTGGAGAAAAGGGAACCCTTGAACACTATTGGTAGAAATACAAATTGGTACAGCCATTATGAAAAACAGTATGGTGGTTCCTCAAAAAATTAAAAATAGAACTACCATATAATCTAGCAATCCTACTACTGCATATATATCCAAAGGAAATGAAACCAGTATGTCAAGGAGACAGATGCCCTCCCATGTGCACTGCAGCATTATTCACAATAGCCCAAATATGGAATCAACCAGTGTCCATTGAAAGATAAATGGATAAACAAAATGTGCTTTATCTAAATAATTAATTATTATTCAGTCATAAAAAGGAATGAAATACTGGCACCTGCTACATCACGTATCAATGTAGATGAAACAAAATGCTCAAAAAACATTATGCTAAGTGAAAGAAGCCAGACACAAAAAGTCACATTTTGTATGATTCCATTTATATGAATTATGCAAAATAGGTAAAGCCACAGAGATAGAAAGCAGATTAGTGGCTGCTGGGGGAAGGGAAAGGGGAGAACAGGGAGTGACTGCTTAATGGGTATAATATTTCCTCTTGGATGACGAAAATGTTTAAGAACTAGATAGAGGTGATGATTGCCCAAAATTGTGAATGTACTAAAATGCCACTGAATTGTCCATGTTTAAATAGTTAATTTCATGTTATGTGAATTTTACCTTAGTTTTAAAAGTGAATTGTTTTTATGTTTTAATCAACTGGCTAACTTGACAGAATAATGCCATAGTTACAAGTACAAATCTTAAAGTCAGATAGCCTGGACTGAGATCTCAGCTTTGCCACTTTGAACTGAGTGAGCTTAGCAAGTGATTATGCTCTCTCTGTCTCAGTTTCTCATCCTTAAAACCAAGTTAATAAGAGTATTCACAGGATTGTAAGACTCAAATAAGGTAACATATTTGTAATACCTGGAATGTTCTTAGAATATAGTAAGCACTAAATAAATAATAGCTAAAAATAATTATGTTTATGGCAATCAAAGAAAAAAATAGTTTCATACAGAAGACAGACTGAGAATTCTAAGATGTTTTTTTCAACGGTAATAAAAATCAAGAAATTTACTATTAATAAACCATACCCTAGAAGCACATGATACAAGGTCTCAAAGTAAACATCTGTCATTTAGTTCTAGTTTCTATAAAAAGAGTATTGAGCACAGAGCCAAATGATGTGTGCCTTTTGTGAGGTCAGTTATCTCTCAGCAGCAACCAAGTAGCAAATAGAGCAGATACCCCACTATTTCCAAAAAAAGTAGGGGTAAGGGGTGCAGCAACAACAAAAAACAAGAACTGAATAATGTCAGATGAGAAATAGGACATGACGTAACAAACATAAAAATTCTAAAATCACATGAGATCATTTGAAACTTCTCATTAGACACTTCAAAAATAATTGAGACCAGGTGCAGTGGCTCATGCCTGTAATTCCAGAACTTTGGGAGGCTGAGGTGGGCAGATTACTTGAGGTCAGGAGTTCAGGACAAGCCTGGCCAACACGGCGAAACCCTGTCTCTACTAAAAATACAAAAAAATTAGCCAAGCGTGGTGGCGCACACCTGTATCCAGTTACTCAGGAGGCTGAGGCAGGGGAATTGTTTGAACCCGGGAGGCAGAGGTTGCAGTGAGCCAAGGTTTTCCACTGCACTCCAACCTGGGTGACAGGGGAGACTTCATCTCAAAAAAATACAAAATAAAAATAATTGAAATAAAATAGAAAACAACAACAGCCAAGTGATGCTGTCAAATTTAAATAGTTGCATAAGTGGCACTGGGGACTATGCAACTTAGGAACCAAATGAACCAAATTCTTTTCTGCATCTTGTAGAATCTAGCCTAAGGGTAACAGAGGTTAGGAATAACCTCCACTTCTCCCCGCAACACACACACCTCCTTTGAAGATTGTAAGTAAAGCAGCTATACAGACAGAAGAAACTGAGTAAGTCCAACTTCTTACCCTCTTCTGCTTCATCATCCTGGGGTGACATTGGACCCCCTCCACTAGTAGGAGTGACTGGTTCCTCCTTGTCAGACTCTCGCTGTAGACTCACCACCTCATATATTGCATCTCCAGCATTGGTATGGCCTTTTCCCTCAGACTGAGAAAAATATAACAGTAAGTATTAGAAATTTGAAGGAAACATTGGCAGATAGTATTGAAAGATATTATTTTAAATAGTTCATTCAAAAGAGCTGCAATGAAGAATGGCATGTTGTGTTTGATCTCCAGCATGTCTGAGATTCTGAAAACTTTTAAGGTGCATTGTCCTTCACAGGATATTCTAAATTTATGTTCCTCTAGTATTATTTTTAACTAATACAATGAAACCTACTCATTATTTTTGGAGAGCTCAATTTCTTTTCATCAGAAAAACCTGAGACACCACAGGTTCTAGGACAGACAGATAAGCAAGTGATGCTAGACTCTTAACTGGGTACGTTACACAAAACTAAAGTATATAGTTCAAAGAATTTTTACAACTGTATACAGTTGGGCAACCACACCCATACCAATATGCCTTCCTGTATTATACCCATCCCTGATAGGTAGCCACAGATATAGCTGTTATATTTTTTGTTAAAGATATATTTGTTATATGTATAAAAATATATATGTGGGTTACATATAAAAGTATGGATTTAATTTGCTAATCAAATTATAAATTATATATATTAGCAAATCAAATCCAGTTTTATACATATACATAAAACAATTTCAAATAAATATTTATTCAAATATATTTCAAATCAAATACATACAAACCAAATTACAAATTTTATACATACATACATACATGCAAAATACATCACAATCAATAGGATTTAGTTGGGGAATGCCAAGCTGGTTCAACACTGGAAAAATCAATCAGCATAATCTACTATATTAATAGACGAAAGAAGAAAGACCGTATGTTCATATCAATTAATGTCATATCAAAATAAAGGGCATTTGAGAAAATTCAGCATTCATTCATGTCAAAACTGTTCAGTAAACAAGTAATACAAGGATGCTTCCTCAACCTGATAAAGAGTATCTAAGAAAAATCTACAAGTAACACTACGTTTAAAGGTGAAAGGCTGAATAATTTCCCCCTGAGATGGAGGAAAAAGGAAGAATGTCCACTGTTACCACTCTCATTCAACAGCCCATGGAAGTCCTGTCCAGTGCATTACAGCAAGAAAAAGCATACAGATTGGAAATAAAACTGTTCTTATTTACAAACAATGTAACTGTCTTTCTCAGAAGTTGACAAACGTTTTGTATAAACAATTCAACTCTGCTGTTGTAGTACAAAATTCTACAATAGTGGTAAAATATTTCATCTGCACTTAAGTTTCCTATACAAGCAGAATCTGAACTACTTTGATCTCATATAGAATCTAAATATTGCACCTAAAAACTGAGTTTCAAATAAAGTATATTTTTATTTAAAAACACTATTTGTTCCCAATATTCACATATTTTAGATAACTAAAAAATCAATCTGTATTTGTAAAGAAAATTGTCTGATTCATATTAGCATTCATTACAGCTTAGCAACATGTAAACAGGAGCTCAATAAATGTGGGTTGGCTAAGTTACATTACAAAGATTCATCACATTTATGCAAATAAACTCTAAAACCTTTTTCAATATGGCATGCCATCATCAACTATTAAATACAAAGTACAATATGCTGATATCTCTAAAAATTCTCTAAAGTTACAAGTCTCAACAGTGGCTATAAATGAGGAAACCAAATCTGAGGCTTTTTATATTTCAAACACTAATGCTTACTCCTTAGGGCAGGATTTAGGAATCTGGATTTTTTTTTTAAGGGTCACAAGTTATTCTGATGCAAAGCTGAATTGAGAACTATTGCCTACAAGACCTGTTATTTTCAGAAAGAATGTCTATATAAAACACATAACAGAATCAAATATTCTCAGTAAGCTACAGATACATAAAATCACATGAAAAAAATACATTTCCAAGCAGCTTCTGTTTACCTCTGCTGAGGTGACAGTAAAGACGCCAAAGGTAATCAGAAGCACTAAGTTAAAAAAAAAAAAAAAGTCCCCAACAGATTATTTTCTCACAACTTTAGAAGTACTCCACAACCTTGTTAATTTTCACCTTTCTGCAATTAGAATAGTTATTAATCAGTTACTTTTGGTTATTTACTGACTGATCATACTTTGATTTAAATAAGTTGAAACCAACATGCATCTTCAAATGGGAATTTTCCTTTTATGCTTTTTAACTCTAATAGTTGATTAAAAGTTTTGTCTCCAACTAAAAGGAATGTCAAGGCACTCAAAAGTAAAGAAGAGATTTGGAGGAGAGGGCAAGAAAACATTTGATATTTTAATATCAAACCCACACCTAGCACAGATCAAAAAAGTAGCTTACTTCCTTTATTGAAAGTCAAGTCATAGAAACTTCTGAGTACAGCTAAACTCCTGTCCTGACCTGGAGCCTATCCTTTTCTTATAGGCAAGCGTCTTCCCTCCAAACTATCTCTTGTCTGAAAACAAGAAACAGTAAGTTGGCATGTGGAAAACAGATTTGTCAAGAGAAAAGTTTCTGTTCCCCCTTAACTCTTCACCTGAAGTACCATTTCATGTCTTTTTACCATTATAGCTCCTCTCAATTCATTCTAACTTTCCTTCCTCTCATTTCTTGAGACCTCTCTCTTTTCTGAATCCAAATTGTGTCCCAAACCAGACACAAAAAGCAAGTAAAGTATTTAGAAAAATGCTCAGCACACAGAAAGTGCTACACAAGTGTTATTTCTTGTTATCGTTTTGTGCTGTTGACGTAACACTATGAGGCATGAGAGAGTCTAACCTATAGTACAATACACAAGTAATATTCAGGAATAATGAACCAGCAAAAGTGGCTTCGTGTCCTAGTCTAGCACTACTCTGGAAATCCTGCAAAAATAATTACTGTGGTAATAACAATAAGGATAGCAAGAATTCAATCCTAACAACAATCCCAGCTTGTCCATATCTTAGAACTTTTTCATTAGTTGTTCCTTTGAAAGGTCTTTCCCTGGATCTTTATATTGACAGTGGCAGAAGGCAGACAAATCCTAAGCAGAGAGGGGCAGGTCCCCAGTGAAACCCCACCTTCAAGCCAAAAGACAGTTTAAAGCCTGAAAGCCAAGCTACAAGTCAAATCTGCAAACCGGACTGAGAATGGCTTCCCATTTGGCACACTTTCCTCTGATTGATCCTCAGCCTTCACCTATTTTATATATACCTATCCTTCCCTAATTGACTTTTTACACTGTTGTGCCCAACTTTGAGTAGTGCTTTTGTTTTAATCTTTTTGCATACTCACAAATCAATCAGCATACACGCCCCAATCTGAGCCCATAAAAGCCCCAGACCCAGCCACAGTGGGACAGAAACCACATGACTTTGGGTAGGGGACCACCCTTGCGTCCCCTCTCTGCTGAGATCTGTTTCGTTGCTCAATTAAATTCTCCACCTTCCTCACTCTTCTATTCTCAGCGTGATCCTATTCTTCTTGGACGTGGGACAAGAACTCAGGACCCACTGAAAGTGGGTACACAGAAGGCTGTAACATTGTGACCCTCTGCCCTCTGCTGGCAGAGGGCAGCTGCCCCACACAACGGAAAGCAGCAGTGGGGCTGAGCCAGGCCTGCAGCCACAGGCCAAAGTGGGGCAAGGGTCTGAAAGAGCTGTTAACACATCACCATCCGTTCCAGATGACGGCATGTTAACAGCTCTTTCAGCCCCTTGAGCTAATTAACATGCTGTAACACCCCCTCAGGGGCTTCGGAGTCATGGCACCCCTGCCTGGGTGCCACCACATTCCCCCATCTGGACATCAGAGACCATCACAGGAGGGGTTTGAGACACGCCTAGTCCAGCAACAAGCACCGCACAAAGCCTGCTTCTGTGCCGGCACTTGGAACAACTGGTCAGACCACATACTTGCTGAACCACATACTTGACCACATACTTGACTGTGTGTTCACCAGGGGCTGAACACACAGTCGCAATGGCCACGGGATCCGTGACAAACTGCAGGCCAGGCATGAACTGGCAGGCCAAGTGGATGGGGCATCTCCTGTGGTGAAACCAGGCCCAGTAAGGCCCAGACAGGGGCGTTATCAGCCAGAGGTCTCCGACTGGCAAAGTGACCAAGAAAAATCCTGCATCACTATGGTGAGTTCCTTCTTGTCATTCAGTTCTCAGACATTCATTCATTCATTCATTCATTCATTCATTGGAGATGGAGTCTCGCTCTATCGCCCAGGCTGGAGTGCAGTGGTGCCATCTTGGCTCACTGCAACCTCTTCCTCCCAGGTTCAAGCAATTCTCTGCCTCAACCTCCCGAGTAGCTGGGATTACAGGCGCCCAGCACCATGCCCAGCTAATTTTTGTATTTTTAGTAGAGATAGGGTTTCACCCACCTTGGCCTCCCAAAGTGCTAGGAATACAGGCATAAGCCACCAGGCCTGGCTTCAAGTGTTTTTAAAGCTTGAACATTTCACAGCCTTCCCAAAATCAAACTTCAGTTGCAAAACCGTGTTCCTTGGCACTTTGCTTTTTTTTTTTTTTTTTTTTTTTTTTTTTTTTTTTTTTTTTTTTTTTTTTTTTTGAGGCAGAGTTTCGCTCTTGTTGCCCAGGCTGGAGTGCAATGGTGTAATCTCGGCTCACCACAACCTCTGCCCACCAAGTTCAAGGGATTCTCCTGCCTCAGCCTCCCAAGTAGCTGGGATTACAGGCATGCGCCACCACAACCTGTTAATTTTGTATTTTTAGTAGAGATGGGGTTTCTCCAGGTTGGCCAGGCTGGTCTCGAACTCCTGACCTCAGGCAATCCACTGGCCTTGGCCTCCCAAAGTGCTGGGATTACAGGCATGAGCCACTATTCCCAGCCACCACTTGGCTTTTCAAATACTTCAGGGGGCCCTGAAGTGTCCAGCAAACGAGAGGTAAACAGGATTATTTGACATGTTTAGGTACATGAGATTGCCAAAATGATGTTCAATCTTCTTTCGGTTATATTTTTGTGAATAATGCTAATATAAGTCCAAAAATCACATGGGATTTCTAAAATTCTAATGTCTAAGTATAT